CGGACACAGTACAGGAGATGGACCAGAGACTGCGGACACAGTACAGGAGATGACCAGAGATTGCGGACACAGTACAGGGGATGACCAGAGACTGCGGACACAGTACAGGAGATGACCAGAGATTGCGGACATAGTACAGGAGATGACCAGAGACTGCGGACACAGTACAGGAGATGACCAGAGACTGCGGACACAGTACAGGAGATGACCAGAGACTGCGGACACAGTACAGGGGATGACCAGAGACTGCGGACACAGTACAGGGGATGACCAGAGACTGCGGACACAGTACAGGGAATGACCAGAGACTGCGGACACAGTACAGGAGATGACCAGAGACTGCGGACATAGTACAGGAGATGACCAGAGACTGCGGACATACAGTGGGGATCGAAAGTTTGGGCACCCCACTAAAAATTTGTATTAATGGCATAAAGAAGCCAAGGAAAGATGGAAAAATCTCCAAAAGGCATCAAATTACAGATTAGACATTCTTATAATATGTCAACAAAAGTTAGATTTTTTTTCCATCATTTACACTTTCAAAATAACAGAAAACACCAAATGAGTCTGCGGAACAGTACAGGAATTTATGCACACTGCCCCCTTTGCCAGAGACTGTCGGATTGTTCTCAATCATCGTCTGGGAAGACCAGTGATGTCAATCTCAAAGGTTTTAAATGCCCAGACTCATCTGACCTTGCCCCAACAATCAGACCATGCAGGAGAAAACTGAAACTGAAAATAGTTGACGCTCACAAAGCTGGAGAAGGCTATAGGAAGATAGCAAAGTGAGATGTCAATATCCTCTGACGGAATGTAATTAAGAAATGGCAGTCATCAGGAACAGTGGAAGTTAAAGCAAGATCTGGAAGACCAAGAAAAATATCAGACAGAACAGCTTGCAGGATTGTGAGAAAAACAATTCAAAACCCACGTTTGACTGCACGATCCCTCCAGAAAGATCTGGCAGACACTGGAGTTGTGGTACACTATTCCACTATAAAGAGATAATTGTACAAATATGGTCTTCATGGAAGAGTCATCAGAAGACCTCCTCTACGTCCTCACCACAAAAATCATTGTTTGAACTTTGCAAATAAACATATAGACAAGCCTGATGCACCTGTAGACCGATGAGACTTTTTGGCCGGAATGAGCAAAGGTACGTTTGGAGAAGAAGGGGCACAGAATTTAATGAAAAGAACCTCTGTCCAACTGTTAAGATGGGGTTGGATCAATCATGCTTTGAGCCAGTGGCACAGGGAACATCTCACGAGTAGAAGGAGGATTCACCAGCAAGTTTTGGATGGTAACTTGATGCCATCCGTGAAAAAGCTGAAGTAAAGAGAGGATGGCTTCTACAAATGGATAATGATCCTAAACACACCTCGAAATCCACAGGGGATTACATCAAGAGGCGTAAACTGAAGGTTTTGCCATGGCCTTCACAATCTCCTGACCTCAACATAATTGAAAATCTATGGATAGACCTTAAAAGAGCAGTGACAGACACTGCCCAGAAATCTCAAAGAACTGGAAGACAGGAAGAATGGGCAAAGATGAATTGAAAGACTCTTGGCTGGCTACAAAAAGCGTTTACAAGCTGTGATACTTGCCAAAGGGAGCAGTACAAGATATTAACTCAGGGTGCCCAAACTTTTGCAGATGCCATTTTTTTGTTTTCTGTTATTTTGAAAGTGTAAATGATGGAAATAAAATCTAACTTTTGTTGACATATTATAAGAATGTCTAATCTGTAATTTGATGCCTTTTGGACCATCTTTCCTTGGCTTCTTTATGCACATTAATACAAATTTTTAGCTGGGGTGCCCAAACTTTCGATCCCCACTGTACTACAGGAGATGACCAGAGACTGCGGACATACTACTGGAGATGACCAGAGACTGCGGACATACTACTGGAGATGACCAGAGACTGTGGACATAGTACAGGAGATGACCAGAGACTGCAGACATAGTACAGGAGATGACCAGAGACTGCAGACATAGTACAGGAGATGACCAGAGACTGCAGACATAGTACAGGAGATGACCACTGCAGACATAGTACAGGAGATGACCAGAGACTGCGAATATAGTACAGGAGATGACCAGAGACTGCAGACACAGTACAGGAGATGACCAGAGACTGCGGACATACTACTGGAGATGACCAGAGACTGTGGACATAGTACAGGAGATGACCAGAGAATGCGGACATAGTACAGGAGATGACTAGAGACTGCGAATATAGTACAGGAGATGATCAGAGACTGTGGACATAGTACAGGAGATGACCAGAGACTTCAGACCTTTGCGGAGTGGAGGGCGGGGGTGGGTACCTCTCCCCACTTTTGCGGAGTTGTCCTCCCTCCCCGTCTTCTGGGACACGTGACAGGTCCCAGAAGACTGCCGGACCATTCACAAAGCACTGTGTTTTCGCGCATGCGCAGTGGGCACCCGGCTGTGAAGCTGCAAGCTGTCACAGCCGGGTTCCCACACTAAAGATGCTGGTGCCAGGGAGAGAAGACGTTGAGGACACAGCTGGACCGAGGAACAGGTAGGACCGAGGAGCAGGTTCTGCTGCACAGAAGAGCCGAGCGGCCGGCTCAGTATTCTAACAAGGCAGCAGCGGGGAATACAGGGCCAGCCACTCCATATTCGCTCCATATTTGTTTCATAAGACACACAGAAATTTCCCCCCATTTTTTAGGGGGGGAAAAAAGTGCGTCTTACGGAGCGAAAAATAAATACGATAACTGTTTTCAATGCATTTACAAATATTTTTTTTTAATCATGTCCCTTTATGCCTTTAAAGTGCACTTTATAAAGAGTTTTGAGCAGATAAGACTTATTTTTACTTTTTTCTGACCTCCAGAACGGATTAATTGGTTTCAATGCATTCCTATGGGAAACCGCGTTTCAGTTTACAAATGTTTCCCAATACGTAAAGTCCCACAGAACGAATTAAATTCGTAAACCGAGGTACACCTGTATATCACATAAAAATATCTATCATTTACATGTGCTATCGCTAATGGATCTACATAAATACCTTTTTATGTTAGCAATATATTGCTTATTGAAGCATGTCACTATGTACCAATTTAATATTGCCACCACACAATAAATAGAACACAGTTTTGCATAGGAGGGCTGGGGAAGTACTTGGGAATAATGGATAACAGTAATAAGCAGCACCTGTCAATGCTAGATGGCTGCTGGAAAAGTCAACAGATATTGTATGTACAGAAAACACATGCTTTTAATATATTGTTGCTCTAAATTGCTTGTGAGGTCATATTTAGATAGTAGGAGATACTGTTAGACCTCCTTCAAACAAGTGATTATGTGCTTACACCGCAAATTATTGCAGCTCTGTATTATCCTTGCATGTATTTTTAAATGCTAGCAGTGTAAAAATCTTAATTTGGCCTGGTATCAGCAACTTGCAGTCCCTGTACTGCCGAGCCGAGTGAAGGAGAAGCAACACAAAGAGCCGATCAGATGTGCTGCAGTGCTCTTGTATGGACAAGAATCACGCTGATAGGAGTAGAGAGCTGACTGATAGAGAAATGTGCTCATCAATCTGCTGCTTTACCTTTCACTGTCCTGTGACAGGGTGTGGAGGGAGTCCTGTAAGCCCTGGTTCACACTGATGCAATTTTGACTGCCTTCCAGAACGCACGGAATTGCATGACATGGTAAATAAAAGAGAGAGGGAGAAAGATTGTAGATTTTAGTTTCCTGGAGTTCAGCATTACAAAAAATGTTTAAATATGTGTTTAGCAAGGACTGCATGATTGCCAAGCAGGGGCGGACTGACCATTTGGAAACTCGGGCACTGCCCTAGGGCCTGGGGTCAGTAGGGGGCCCCATGAGATGCCCCTGGTACCTTTTTCATAGGCTTTTTTGAGTTTGTGCAAGGACATGGCCCCATGATCCCCTATTGCCCGGGGGCCCCTGTTGCCAAGTACACAACAATTACATATGCAGGAAAGAAGATTATACCATCTTGTTAGGAAGGGGTTTCTACAATAAAAGTGTTTTTACTGTAGAGCTTCTTGCATCTGTAATTAGTAATGGCAATTGATCTGACTGTTTTTGTGGGATTGGAAAGTAGCCCACCATCGTTTGGCAAATAGTTACCCAGAGGCTTTATTTTTCCTGAAAGTACAGTATATAACTAAAGGCTCTTTTATAACAGTCAAAACAAGCCCCAAATCTAGCAAATGCTTTGTAATGCACAAGCTTCTTAAAGTTAAAAAAAACTTCATTTTCTATCAGACTGAACCAAATCCTCCTTCATTTGTGTCTCATATACTCCCCTCGCAGACAGAAACTCACTAACTCAATGCAGCTCACAGTGGTAGGGTTCCAGCAACAGAGGACGTGTTGTCAATCCAGAAAGTCCAGACAGTCAGAAAGTCTGGACAGGAAAAGATGTGGCCAGGTGGCCAATTACAACCCTGATAGCCACACCATTGCAGCATTTTATCATCCTACTGTACTGCATGCAGACATGGCCTACATGAGTGGCAATTCTGCTCTGAATTCAGGAGTATTGTTGCCACACCATCGTAGAAAGCTGCATCGGGTATTTGTGGAACTTTGCAAGAGGACCAAGAGAAAACTATAAGAGCAGATGCACTTACGTGCTACTTCTCATCTTTTTTAATGAAGACCATAGTTCTACTTTACTTGCCAACCGCAGATAGCCGAATGACGGCTACACTGCGGCCAGCCAGTTCTGGGAGAACGTCATATGACGTCCTCCCAGAATGTGCTCTCCTGCGCGCCCCCGGGGGCGCGCACCCGGCGATCTCCATGATTGCTGTGTCCTACGGACACAGCTGATCACGTGATGTGGTAAAGGCCAATCACAGTGGCCTTTTACCACGTGATCAGCCGTGTCCAATGACACACTGATCACCGGGAAATGCAATTGTTGGTTCTTGGCTGCACTTGCCTCATGCTGTCAGAGCGTGAGGAAAGTACTGCCGAGAACCGGCAGTTGTCAGAGCAGGGATCGGCACCGATCATCAGGGCACTGATGATCAGTGCCCTGATGATCGGTGCCCAGCAGTGCCACCCACCAGTTCCACCCACCTGTGCCCAGCAGTGCACCCACCTGTGCCCAGCAGTGCCACCCAGCAGTGCCACCTACCTGTGCCCAGCAGTGCTACCTGTGCCCACCCACCGGTGCCCACCCACCTGTGCCCACCCACCTGTGCCCACCAGTGCCACCCACCTGTGCCCACCAGTGCCCATCAATGCAGTGCTGCCAGTCAGTGCCACCAGTCAGTGCTCAGCGGTTGAGCCAATCAGTGCCCAGCAGTTGCGCCAATCAATGCCTAGCAGTGCCGCCAGTCAGTGCCCAGCAGTGATGCCAGTCAGTGCCACCTATCAGTGCTGTCTATCAGTACCCATCATCAGTGCCGCCTATCCGTGACACCTCATTAGTGCTGCCTATCAGTGCCGCCTATCTGTGCCACCTCATTAGTGCTGCCTATCAGTGCCGCCTATCAGTGCCCTTCAGTGCTGCCTATCAGTGCCCATCAGTGCCACCTATCAGTGCCCATCAGTGCTGCCTCATCAACGCACATCAGTGAAGGAGAAAAATTACCTGTTTGAAAAATGTTATAATAGAAACAAAGAAAAATTTTTTTTTTACATTTTTGCACTTTTTTTGTTTATAGCGCAAAAAGTAAAGTGCCCAGTGGTGATTAAATACCACCAAAAGAAAGCTCTATTTGTGAGAACAAAATGATAAAAATTTCATATGGGTACAATCTTGCATGACCACGCAATTGTCAATCAAAATGCGACAGCGCTTAAAGCTGAAAATTGGCCTGGTAAAGAAGGGGGTATAAGTGCCCGGTAGGCAAGTGGTTAATATGGACCAAACCATAAGGAGCTGCATGGATGTAATGGATGAGATTCAGTTTTCAGCCCAGTTAACTATGAACTATAAAGAACTATATTGTGTTTATAAAACTGTATAATACACTCTCACCAACCACTTTATTAGATACACATTGCTAGTGCCAAGAAAATATCCTCCACACCATTACACCACCACCACCAGCCTGAACCGTTGATACAAAGCAGGATGGAGCCATGCTTTCATGTTGTTTACACCAAATTCCGACCTTACCATCTGAACATCGCATCAACCAGTCTGCTCATTCTCCTCTGACCTCTGACATCAACAAGGCATTATCATTCACACAACTGCGGCTCACAGAATATTTTCTCTTTTTCTGACCATTCTCTGTAAACCCTAGAGATGGGTGTGCATGAAAATCCCTGTAGATAAGCAGTTTTTTAACTACTCTGACCAGCCCGTCTGGCACCAACAGCCATGCCACATTCAAAGTCACTTAAATCCTCTTTCTCCCTCATTCCGAAGCTCAGTTTGAACCATCATCTTCACCACGTCTAGATGCCTAAATGCATTGGGTTACTGCCATGTGATTGGCTGTTTAGCAAATTGTGTTACCAAGCAATTGAACAGGTGTACCTAATAAAGTGGCTGGTGAGTGTATAGCTTACTTACAACATACAGCTAAAGAATAATTCCAGGCATTGACATGTTATATATAGTTACACTGGTCCAGCTTGGACCAATGTAACTATTGTGATATGGGGGTTGGTTTAGCTCAGTGGTATAGAGTTTTTAACAAGTTCACGTTAGTCTGAACTTTGCTTAAGGGCTTGGCGGCCCATGTTTATGGGAAAAAGGAAAAGAAAAGGTCTACCACACTAGTTGCCCAGGCAAGGGGATTTTCAAAAGCAGTCAACTAAAAATGCTTTGCCACATGGCTCTCTCCTCAGCAGCACTGCTGCTCTTGGTACTGGTCCCCATGTGTGGTTTTCAGGCTCACTCAACCGTTTTATTGAAGCGCTCAGCTACACAGGCCCACTCCTTGCTTCTCAATAGAAGTTCTCCTGGATCTCTCACTCCTCGGAAACTTACAAACTCCCTCCAGTCCTCAAGACTCGCTAGTTGCCTCAGCTCTCTCGGACCTGCAGATTTGCTTAGCTGTCCCAACTCCAGTCATGCAAGTAAGGAATCCCTCTAACTACCGAACCCAGAGAAAACTGAAACCCCAGTCTTTTTCACCCAGGTCATAGTTTAAGGATCCTTGTTTGGAGAGGTATTCACAAGACATCAGGTCAGCAGTTCAGCATGGTGCCCCAAAAGCAAGTGGAGATCACTGAAGTAACGTTTTCTACTTTAGTGATTTTGCTTCCAGCAGCATTAGTCAGGTATGTCATTTACATAAATACATTGGTCCAAGCATGTAGCTATGTATACTGTATATCCTAAGCAAATGTAAAAGAAGTTGCGAGCGCTAGAAAAAACTAAAGCAGCCACAGCATCAAAAAGGATACCAATAAACCTTACAAAAGCATATAATATAAAAGATGCGGCGCTATATCACAAGTAGTGAGAAATAATGAAAATTATCCAAGGTGTCAATATAGTGATCATAGGTGACTACTGTGATCCTGAACAGTAAGCAGAGTAACATGCAGTGCAAACACAGTCTTTGTGGTAATTTCTCTCCTTCAAAGTGCTGATTCCATGCGGTGAACGTGAAAAGGATAAGGCTGTGCACTCACCAGATGCACAGCGTAACTGCGCGTTTTAGAGATAAATTATCTCTGAAAGATCCACTGGTAGTACTTTTACGGTCAGGGTCAAACCAGATATTCCTCCACCCGCTGGATGTTGCTGATAATCCACAGTCTCTCTCAAAAGATGGCTCTACAGGTGATATGTGACTCACCAAGCTATGTATATGCAGCACTACCCCCTTAGGAGTTGCTGAGTTTTGGGTCCCCCTTAAAGCGCTGCACCCAGGCAACACGCATTTTCATCCAAACTTTGCACACTGGAGACAGTAAACAGTCCTTGAGCTTGGTTTTGTTTGTTTTATCAAGGGGTTAACAACATGGATGGGGGCAAGGGGGCCCAAGAACTGTAGATTGAGAACAGTCCCAGATGAAGACTAGTTGGGTATTGCACCTGACTGCCCTCTCCCCTTTTCTGGCCCATGGGGTGTAGGAGTACTCACTCTGTCTTTCCCTGTTTGCTTGGTGGGTTGGTGGCTGCTATTAGACCTTATGCTGGGCTAGCTCTTTCCCTGCTCCACGGGCCATCCTACCAAGGAGACGATGAGACAGAGGAGATCCGGCTTTCTAGAATTCTGACTGCAGGTGGGCTCCCCTCCCTGGGGCCCCTTCCCAGGCTCCACACTCCAGTTCTCACTCTATCTTCCACCTCACACTCTGCCTTGACTCCTCCTAGGCCCTGAGATACTTAAGGGTTGCCTTGGTCACCATGCAGAGGGGATTGGCCAAGGTCCCTCAAGTATGCAGATCTGAGCCCCTTCCCCTCCTCTGTCCCCCCTCCAGAAAGCTCTCAGGTTTATGGAGAGGTGGGAGGGCTCCAGAAGAATTGACCTTCAGAACCTCCCTAGCCTGTCCTGAGGTGAACTCCTGTCTCATTGACAGGCTGACTCATCCCAGGCTGCTACTCTGTCTCTGACTAACAAAAAAAAAACTACCTAGCTAACCTGGAGGGCTTTATATATAACATGCTGATGCCTGGAGTTATTCAATTATATTGAAAAAGTCATCTTTGTTTTCTTTTTTTTTGTGAGCATGCTTGCAAGGTTTATCTGAACTGTGAAGCCCTGATAAGCTCATTGTGATGCTTATTCCTCTCTCATTGTAAGTACAGTGGATTAGAAAAAGTTTAAAGACACTGGGGATGACACAAGGGTTTGAAACCTTAATCACTCTATCCAAAACTAAATTCTGGGCCGTGCATATACCAATAGTTTTTTTAAAGAATACATAATGTAAGTGCCTGGAGTCTAGCTTTAAAATTATGTAGGCATCCTATACTGCTTAAAAGTTTGAACAGGATCGTTCTTTCTCCCAATCATCATTCTATTGTGCTGAAGAATATTGTAGGAACCCAATTTTGTGTGCTTCAAAGCAAAGCCTTAAGAGTACTTCTGCCTTTATGTGTGTTTCCTTAATTCAGGGAAGCACCTGAAGCCACAGAAGTTCATGAAATATTTTCACATAAACTTCTACATAAAATGTGCAGTATATTAACCACTTGCCACCCGGAGGATTTACTCACCTTCCTGACCAAGCCATTTTTTGTGATACCGCTGCATTATTTTAACTGACATTGTGTGGTCATGCAACGCTGTACATAAATTAAATGTATTTCCTTTTTTTCCCACAAATAGTGCTTTCTTTTGGTGGTATTTGATCACCTCTGCCTTTTTTATTTTTTGCGCTATACACAAAAAAAGACTGACAATTTTGGAAAAAAACTATATTTCTGACAATTTTGCTATAAAACATATCCAATATAAAACAAAATGTCTTCATAAATTTAGGCCAAAATGTATTTTGCTACATGTCTTTGCTAAAACAAAATCCCAATAAGTGTATATTAATTGGTTTACGTGAAAGTTCTAGCATCTACAAATGGCGGTATATATACTGTAATTTTTTTAATTAATTCATTTTTTTATACGACTTATAGTGGGACTGCGGTGGGCATTCTGACACTGGGTGGGAACTGACTAATTGTAACTGACATTCCCAGTGACACTAATACAGTGATCAGTGCTAATAAAAAGCACTGACACTGTACTAATGACACTAGGCAGGAAGGGGTTAACATCTGGGATGATCAAAAGGTTAACTGTGTGCTGTGTGTGTTTTACATTGTGTGCTGTGTGCTGTTTTACTTGCTGTGCAGAGAGATACAAAGCAGCATGTCCATTCTGACAGCAGAGAGAACTGTATTGTTTACACACAGGTCTCTCTCACCGGGACCTGGTGATTGACATTCCCCACTGCCAATAGCTGTGCAGGTAGGATGGCTATCTGGAAATGCAAATCATGTATATATACGTGATTTTGCACAGCTGTGCCGCCCTGTAGCAGTACTTTGGATGGTAACATTCTGACATCTACATCCTCCTAAACAGTCTAAAGTGTTTTTGATAAAGCAAATTTCAGTTATTAAATCCTCATTTAAGGTTCTAACACTATCATTTTACCACTTCAAGATTTTTCTGGAGCCTTCATAAAAGGATGGACCCAGATTTGTGCTTAGTTGCCTACTGAGAATAGAACCTGGTCAAGAAAGGGATGAAATATCTGTATTGCTGGCCATACACAGCCACTTGTCTAGCAATGTCAACACCTTTAAACCAGCTTTT